TTATTGGGCATGTGGAGCTCACCTTGTTTTATTTAATGTTTTCAGATACTAAACATGGAGCATCTGGGAGGCAGGGGAAATAGAGAGCCACCTTAGAAATAGACTATTTAGTTCTTTCCAATTATGCTTAGCATTCATGGACATTTAAAATAAAGAGATTTTAATTTAGTGCTAGTTAAACTTCAGATTCTTGGTGTAGAATTGATTTTAGATGATGGAGTATTATTATCATATATACATTTTTCTATTAATTTTCTTAAAAGTGAAGAATAAATTTTATGCAAAGCTGCAGGGATGAATTTTAGGGACTGATTTAGCCTTACATGCTTTTGGGGTCACTCCTAAAGGTATGTGGCATTGTCATGTCCTAACCCCTAAGTTGGGGCGTGACAATTCATTAGGAAGATGTTAAGTGGATCTTCAAATACTTGAGAGGAACTACCAAGTTGTGTTTGACTTTTGGAAAGATTGAACCAATTCTAAAGGGATACACAGATGCAGACATGGCAGGTGACCTGGATAATAGAAAATCTATTTTAGGGTATTTATTTACTTTTGTAGGGGGAGTTATATCATGGTAATCAAAATTGCAAAAGTGTGTTGTCTTGTCAACAACCGAAGTTGAATACATTGCAGCTACAAAAGTTGGTAAATAGATACTTTGGATGAAGATATTCCTTCAAGAATTGGGATTGAAGTAGAAAGAGTATGTAGTATTTTGTGGCAGCCAATGTGCTATAGATTTGAGTAAGAATACTATGTATCATGCTCGAATAAAACATATAGATGTGAGATATCATTGGTTGCGCTTAGTGACAGAGAACAAGCAATTTCAACTCAAAAAGATTCACATAGACAATAATGTTGCTGATATGATGATAAAAGTTCTTCCTAGGGAGAAGTTTGAATATTGCACGAAGCAAGTCGGGATGAACTCCAAGTAAGGAGTCAGGATTTAAGTCTCTTCCCATGGGGCTGGAGGGGTAGATTGTTGGCAGAAACTTTCAGCCCATGTGAACACATGGACTTTCATGTGGTAAAATCTTCACACCCTATGGTAAAAGGCTGCACCTATAATAGCACTTTTTGAAGTCTTGCATGGTTATTTCAACTATTGCAAGCTTACTCATTTAATGAGGGAAGAAAATCATGCATGGGTGGTTGGGTTTTCACCCTATAAATACCCATGCAATGGCAAGCAAGCAAGAAGCAAGAGTGCAGCACCAAGTGAGCAAAGTGAGCTCGGGGTGAGAAAAAAAAGGGGTGAGAAAAAAAAGGGGTGAGAAAAAAAAGGGGTGAGAGCTAGGCATTAAGTTTAGGTGTAAGTGTGCTCCATAGAGAGGGTACTTTGAGTGACAAAATTGTGATTTTTATCAGGTGATCATATCCTAGGGGAGTGGGAAACACCAAGAGAGAAAAATATTTTAGTGTATACTTTGTATGCTTTTATCATATAGTGGAATACTCTTCGGAATTTGTCCCGTTATTTTTTCCCTCAATAGTTTTTGAGAGTTTTTCCACATAAAATTTTGTTTCATCTTATTATTTATTTTTCCTCTTAAGTGGTTGATTAAATCATCCGTTTTATTTTCATCCTAAGTGGCTGGTTAAACTACCCAATTTATTTTGCATAGCTGGCTACGTTACCTTTTTCACTAACCACTAATATTGGTTGGCTAAGCTGCCTATTTCATTATTCTTTGTTATTGTTTATGTGTTTTGTTCACAAAAATTAGTTTATTCTGTTGTGCCATATTTCCCAATAGTGTGGCAAATTCGGGTCGTGGCAGCTGAGGGACTTTGTCTTGACGAGCTTGGCGTGGGCGCTGGAGGCATTCCACACCATGGTCATGATCTTTGCCGATCGAGAATTGGATTGGCGGTGCATGAATAGGTCATCGGGTTCTGGGCGCGACCAGAGTGCTGGGCGCGACCAGAGTGCAAAGAGCATGTGCAGGCTCCCATCAGGTTTATGGAAATGGATTGGTAGTCTAAGTAGCTCCATGGTTGCGTAGTGGGGATTAATTGGTCTGTGGGGAGAAATACAAGATTAGGCTAGTTCGGGCCTTGTTTTTTGTGGCTGTATAATTGGTAAGTCCTTTGAAGCCTTCTGTTTATCTCACATGTTGTTATGTTCTTTAATATATATATCTTAATTCAGAAGCTAGTGGATGAGATAATTTTACTTATGGAGATAGATATGTAGTCTTCTCCAGTGGATGTGCTCCTTATGTCCATATTACAAGGAATTAACAATCATGTTTCTAAATATGCACGTGGCGATGGATTGGCTGCGGTTGGAAGGGGTTTGGGAGCACTTTCTAAAAAGTTTGGTATCGAGGTGGAGTTTCATAGAATGCCTGTTTTGGCTGGTGGTATGGTTTGCAACTATAGGGACTTTATGGATTTGGTTCAACCTCCTTTTTGGTCCCTCAACTATTGTATGAATCCTGATTAAGTCCCTTAACTCAAAATCCCTAACTTGGTCCCTACTGTTTATTATTTTTACTCCAATTTGGTCATTCCGTTAAAAATCTCTCCACGTGTACTGTTAATTCATGATAAGATGATGACACATCAAAATATTAACCCACGTGTAAGACAACATGGCAAAATAATAGTGACATGGCAATAAAAATTTTAAAAATTCTCTTTCTCCTTCCTCTTTCCTTTTCTCCTTCCTCTTCCTTTCCTTCTTCATCAATCAATTCTTCATCATCATCATCAAACAACACCTACAAAAACACAGAAATTATTTATTTATTTTTTTGCCTAATTTCGATCAAACCTAGCACTAGGTTCCTTGGAACCCAGAGCCGGGGATCATCAAACGCAGGTGATGGATTCCTTCAAATCCAATTGGGTTCCAAGGAACCCAGGCGATCTAGGTTCAATTGAACCCAGTGCCTAGGTTCGTCCAAACCTAGCGTCGGGCTGCAAGGAACCTAGAGCCTATGTTCATCGAACCTAGCAATGGGTTCCTTTGAACCCAATTGGATTCCAAGGAACCCAAGCTTGGGTTCAACAAACCTAGTGCCAGGTTCCAAGGAACCCAGGTGATCTAGGTTCGTCCGAACCTAGTGCCGGGTTCCAAGGAACCTAAGCTTAGGTTTGTTGAACCCAACACTTGGGTTCCAAGGAACCCACGATCCCAAGGGTAAAGAGAAAGGGAAAGAGAAGGACAAAGGAAAAAGAAAGAATTTTTTTAGCTTTTTTATTATATTATTATATTTTTGCCATATCACTATATTTTTGCCATGTTGTCTTCCACGTAGATTAACATTTTGACATATCATCATCTTACCGTGAATTAACAATACATGTGGAGATTTTTAACAGAAGGGCTAAGTTTGGGTAAAAAAGGAAAACAGTAGGGACCAAGACCAAGTCAGGGATTTTTTGGAGTTGAGGGACCAAAAAAGGGATTTAACCTATGGATTTTGAGGAATCGAAAAGTGTTCGGGAAAGAGCAAGACAATGAAGACGAGGTACGAGAGCTCATTAAGTACTGGTCTTTCTACTGGTTAAAGGCAAATTTGTTCCCGGATTTACAGCGGGAGTTATGGAACGCTGTGAGCCCAAAGAGGCAATTGGTAGACAAACTCAGGTGTAGGCTTCACGTGGATTTGGGATATTGCCCCGACTTTTGTACTGTTTGATAGGGTGGGAATGGTAATATCGTTGTAAATAGTGGTTCTTTCATGGGTTAGGCACCCTTATACCAAATAAATAAAATTTTGGCTTATTAAAAAAAGAATGCTTTGAGTTAGTCCTTTCTTTTTTTCATGACCTCAATTTACCCACCCTTCTTTTGCTGATCCAATGAAGTTTAATTTTTCCTGTTAGTACTGAGTTTGTGCTATATTGGGCCCCTTTTTTTGGGCTAGTTGGTTTTGTTACTACTTGAATACGAAAAGGAGCCCACAAATTTGAGCAGTTTAACTTTTTTTTTTTTGGCCATTGGAATGTTGGACATGTTATCGAGGATAAAGAGAGCAGTATTTTTCCACCAAAAAAAAAAAGAGAGCAGTATTTAACTACTTATTTGGGTCTATTTGGGCTAGATTTGAGTAGCATTTGACCATATGTTTTGTTCCGATTTTCCTTGAAAAAGAATCTAGGGGAGCTGAGCAGCTTGCCTTTAAAATAAGAATTTTTAAAAAAAAAATAAAAAAATAAAAAATAAAATTGATTATAAAATTAATGTTTTTTAGTTAAATTTTTTAAAATTAAAAGAAAAAATATTTTAAAATTAGAATGTTTCAATAAAGTATAATTAAAAAAGAGTTAAATAATTTTATTTTTACTTTAAAAACAGAATTTTTTAATTTTTTAAATAAAATTTTATTAAAATAATATAATTTTAATAGACTCTTTTTCTTAATTTTTTAAATCTAATTGATAAACATTTTTTTTATCATTCACTATAATGTGATACAACTGGTTATATTGTGATATCACCCGAAAATGTTTTTCCTTCCGAAAGATAAGGTGAGAAAACTTTCCTTGAAAAAGTGACTGATTACTTTAAAAAATAATCAATTATATTCAAAGAATCTATTATATTTAAAAGTGATTCTATTAAATCACTCTATAGTCATTTATTTTTCTTTTTTTGCATAATTTTTGTGTCAAGATTAACAAAATTGTGGGCTAAGCCAATAATTTTGTAAAGCTCGGTTTGCCTGGATCTTTTTACAGGGAAAACTCGAGCCTGATTAAATCAGAGGTTTTTCTTAAAATGTTTTATTAGGAAAAGTTAGTAAAGCAGTTTTGTCGAAATTATAACTCTTTGAGAAGATTAATTAATTTAGAAAAAAACTAGTCAAGCAAGTCCTAATATAAAAGAGTTAAGAGAAATGTGTTTACGGGGTAAAAATGGGTGTTGAAAACTGTGCATGTAAGCTCAGCACAAGATTTGCATTTAATCTAAAATTAATTGGTAATAGGTGGAGTGACCTTCCTTGTATTTAACTCACAAACTTTTTATTTTAATACTCAATATGGGATTTTTCTACTTCAACATGCCACGTGGGTCGATATGGGATTTTTCTACTTCAACACGCCACATGGGTTAACAAGCCCCTTAAATACAAGATTTGTACTCTTCGAGCCTTTGGGTCTTGTTAGGTGAGCTAACAACGGGTTTTTTGGGATAGAACTTGGATCTGATATCATGTTGAAAACTGTGCATGTGGGCTCAACATAAGGCTTGCATCTAACTTAAAACTAATTAACAATAGGTGGAGTGGCCTTCTTTGTATTTAACCCATAAATTTTTTATTTTAATACTCAATGCGGGATTTTTCCACTTTAATGGTGGAGTGGCCTTCTTTGTATTTAATCCATAAATTTTTTATTTTAATACTCGATGCGAGATTTCTCCACTTTAATGGTGGAGTGACCTTCTTTATATTTAACCCATAAATTTTTTATTTTAATACTCGATGTGAGATTTTTTCACTTTAATAATGGGGAAAGGATGGATTTCAGTTCTTTTCTTTCTCATGACCACTTGAGTTTTTTATGCCAACTAAGGAGGGACTGAAAGACGACGCTGATGGGTGTAATTCAAAATGAGCCATCGAAACAACTTGAATTTGTCGATGCAATCCAAAAGATAGGTGAGTCATGCCATTTCCATGAGGAGATTGATGACATATAGGGACAAAAAGTGCAGATGATGAACAACAACGAATTTGAAATTGTTATATACAGGTGTGTGGAGAGACTTTAGACGTAGAGAAATTAATGCAAGCAATGTAATTCTAAGAATCTATCTTAAGGATAATAATTTTTACCTCCAAAATATGCTATCCTTATAATACAATGCTTATTACATTGAACTTTAATCTCCCAAAGCCAGTATGCTCAAGAAAGCAACAAAACGCAGAGGAAAGAATGAAGGAAGAAACAGAATGCTTCAAAAATTGCTCTTAACGGTGGGGCTGTATTTTTATTTATATAGCCCACTAGTGCCTTTTGCACCCAGCACAGATGACGCCAAGTCGAGAACTGGTGCCTTTTACACTAGTTCAAAGATATGCAATTCTATAGGGAATTCCCACTCATAACTTTTGGTATCAAACCAGAAATTTTAACATTCAAAAAGCAATCTGCTGTAGCCGTTTGAAACAGTTTCTTCTTCTTTCCCATTCTGTTTCTAGGCTTCCTCCCCCTTTTGACTTTAATGACCCGTACCCGTACCCATACCCATAAATTAATACTTAGTAATATAGTGTATATTATAACGACTACGTGTAGGTTGCTAACTAGTATAATTTATAACAATCAAAAAAATTCATTTACATACAAATTTTATATTTAAATAAAATTTTAATCATTTATATTTTTTCTTTCAATAAATGAAATTTATTATGATTTTTTTTATGAAAATAATAATTATTTTTAATAAATATAAATAAATCTTAATCATTAAAAAAAAGATGAATTAATTATTAAGATTTTGTGTAAATTGAGTGTGTAAAATTTGTATATAAATAGATCTCAATATTATTATTCAATTATATTATTGAAAAATACTATATATATATGACTATATATACAACAGATACTGGTTATGTTAATATCCTAAATCAAGAAATAACAAAACACTTGTGTTGCTTAAATATAAAATTAGTCCCTTTACCTCATTAGTTTAGGTTAAATATTTTTCTTAGTTTATGGAGAGATTAGGAGATTCAATCACATCAGTGATTGATTAATTAAATAAGATATTAGATTCTAGCATTAATAGGTGGATTGTATTTAAGTATTTTAATGTAATGATTTATTTTCTTATGTAATCTACCCTATATAACCTATATAAAGGATATTACATATAAGTTTCTTCATAGTGTAAAGAATATTTAGATATCTGATCTTAACTCTAAAGTAAGATTTTTAAATTAATAAATATTAATTTGGACAAATTACTATTGATTCTCTACACACCCCTAAATTATAATAAAATTCATTTCTTTTAATGCTCTCTACTTGCTTTTCCATGCTTTAAATATTAATGACGTTTAAATCTACAAAGCATATTTTCTAAGGATTAGCGAGGACATGGCCCCCCCTCTTGAAAAAAAATTAATATTTGTTTTAAAGTCCTAGTTATTTATAAAGTTATTAAAATATTTATTTGAAAAAACCATAATTCTAGCAGTGCTAGTTCATTTTTGCCTTTTTCTCCAAGTTTTTGGCAACTTTAAGATTATTTTATTTTTGTACAATATACAATAATACAAGTTAAAAATTTAAAGTTTACATATATAACCTTACAAGTTCTTTATCTCATAATTTTAATTTCTTGGATTTGAATTGAAGGCTCATTAAAATACTCTAATTCGTAATTTTAAGGTTACTCTCTCTTTTTACATAATATATAATAATATAAGTTAAAAGTTAAAAGTTTTTTATTTTTATTTTTTTGTCAAAGAATGGTTAACTCTTTTCTTTATTTACTTTAAAAAATTCCCAAAAAAGAGTAAATACATTTAAAATAGATGGTCAAGGCAATATGCCAATCAATTGTAAATTCAAATTTTGAGCAAAATGACAACAAAATCCCTCCAAAATTTATTCACATGCCAAATTTTAGAAGATGATAGGAAAAAAAAATCAGAAATGGAAGAAAGGAAAGGAGAAATGTTATGAGAGTAAAATTTGAATTTCTTATTAATTAGAGGAATTGGAGATTCCATTACATGGAATGTACATGTACAGTATACATTATTTTATATTTGGATATTTGTTACATATAATAATTTTTTTTATTTTTGTTTTAACTTAAAATTTATAAATTTTGGTAGATAATGGTTACTTAGTGAAATTATGTTAGGTATATTATATACTTATATTTACAGGTTATGAAAAAAACATTTTTGGCCAACCAAACATTTTGCTGAAGTCCGTCACTGTATATACCATTTCCCTAAGATTTCGTCTACTTTGGTAACATGTTTATAAATTACTTTCACGCGTAATAATCAAGTGTGCACATAAAAAATGTGCTCAACAAAATTAACATGGTTTAAGAATTAAATTTGTAACATTTCGAAATGTTGCTGCACAGCTTGTGTGGCACTCAAATTGGGGACACTTATAAATTTGTTTTTTCTTAGATTTGAGAACTCGCAAAAAATATAGAATTTCTGGTGGAATTATTGGGTGCGCTTCACTTTCACAATTTTTTAAAGATTGTTTTCATACAACATGAAAGGGGGATTTTTTATTTTTTTTATTTTTTTTGCGTTTTAATTGGGTGCAATACAGCTTGAAAGGTTTGGTACCCAGTAAAAAAAAGGCAGCTGCAGGCTTGGACGGTTATGTGATTCAATGATAAGGCTGTCACGCTTGTGTCCAGTAGTGTGGCTCAATGATATAGCTGAGACGGACGGGTAAGGAGAATCGTGGATGATGTGTCTTCTCGTGATTAAGATTTTGTCTGTCAATGTTCTATACAAATTTTTTGTGTAGCACTTTAAATAAAAATATAAGTCTATAATTAATTTTTAATTAGTTTTAATCGATTTTTTATATAATATATATTTCTACTAATTTCAGTTAATATTTTGAGATTAGTGTTTATTAAAAAAATCTTTAAAGAATAAAAATAAAGACATATGAAAACTACATTGTTTAATAAAATATTATGAAAAAAGATAAACAATCTTATTTTTATTTTTAAAATATGTTAATTTTTATTTTATAATGACTTTACTAAAACAATATAGTTTTAGGTATTATTCCTTCTAATTTTGGGGAGATATGATTGATAAACACTTTTTTCCAATGATAGAGTTAGGATTTGAGATAAGGGGGCAAATTTATCTAAGACTAAAATTAAACTTATGTCAAAGTATTATTTCCCTATTGTCTATTTTAGTTATATTAATTTGTCTTCTGCATAAAACTTAACTTGATGATTCCAGATAGCAAATATATGATAGTTGAAATTTTTTTTTAGCTAAATCTAGTGTTTGTTGAATATTTTCACTCAAATTGAAAACAAAAATCAGTTGTTAACCATTTGTTATATAGAATCATCAAGTTAATTAACATAAATTTTACAAAGTAGGAGACCCAAAAAGCATTAGAGGGAGTAACACATAGTTGTAAAGTTGTAAACTTGTATCTAAAATTAAATTTGGCCATTCTCAATGTGAAATGTACTGTACTTAATTAGAATTTTGTGTGATTAGTGAATAATTATCTAGTTTTATTTTGTGGGAGGAAAAAACATAGAATAAAACACATCTAAAAAAATGAGTAGGAATCCACTTAATACAAAACTTATAAACCACATTTACATAATAAATATGTAAATGTAATAAATATGTTGTTTCCAAATGTTGCATGATATTATATTTGTTACATAATTTATTATAAGAAAATGATGGGTGCACACCCGGATCCCACACCCGGGTGT